ATATAAAAAAAAAAAAAAAAAAAACATTTTATAATACAAATTTAGTTTGAAGAAAAACTTTTGATTTTAATAATTCAATTCAACGGCTTTTTAAGAGTGTTGTCCCAACACAAATGTTGATCAACAGAAAAATGCGTTAAAGCGCTTAGCAGTGTTGCAAGTCGTCGAATAAAAATCTGAGTAAAGAGCGCGAAGCTTTGTTTATTCAAAACAAAAAGCTTTGCATCAAAGCGATGTGAATTCGCTAAGCTTTTCAGACTCATTTCGTGGCATTTGCTTGCTCAGCGACTCCAATTAGGGCTAGTAAAATTAATTGAGAGGCTTTTATGATGCTGCTCTTGCTCTAAATACATAAATTATATTTTCAGCAAATATAAATTAATTAACTTAAAAATAGATTTAAAAAAAAAAAAAAAACAAATTTATATTTTGCTTATTAAAATTGAAGCAAATCCATAAAGTATTAAAAATAACCTGTTATACCAACTGTCACTTAGTTAATACCGTTTAAATCTACCCCAAAATTAGAGGTATGGTAGTTTTTTTTTCCGATTGCTATGATTGATTAATTAGCCGGGTCAAAAATAGCTGCAAATGGCAGCCAATGCGGAGACGTGACTTTGCCGATTTGAGGTATTTATTTTTACTATGCGACGTTTTGCAGACAGACATGATGAAGCAGACTAAGTATGCTCTAGTGGGGTATACATAACTCGAGGATACCCTCTTGTATATACCGATTTGAGTAATTGTTTAAATATTTCAGCTGAATTTTAATTAATAATTTATTTTCATTTCTGTATACAATAGTATATTAATTGTCTCACTCATATCTATGATTAGGGATTTGGGCATCTTTCAATTATTTTTTCTCTGCACACAATACTTTTTAATATTTTATATTATGTTATTATTAATTATTTTAAAGAGATACGATTAAGTAGTTTAATATGCTCTGGTGGGATATTCATGACTAAATTATTACCTTTACTTCCATTTTTAACTATTTAAATATTTAAACTTACTTCTGTATGAGCACAATAGTTGTGTATTAATAAATAATTGCTTGATTAATAATGGTATTAATAAACAATTTGTATGTTTAATACCACTATACCCCTATGTATTTCGACCTATGTTTGTCTTAAAGCCAAATAATAATATAATTAATAAAAATGTTGAAGAAATATCTAAAATTTCGCTTGTTATGAAACTTTCGAGATATAAATAGAAGAATTTAAATAAGTATAAAAAATATAACAATATTGAAATAGACAAAAATATATATCAACTGTAAATTGTCTATTCATAATACCCTTTTCACGAAACATAATACCGAACTTGTGAACCCCTTTTTAATTGGGTTAAGGGTATTAAGAGACGTATTTTTTTAAACAGACCCCTCCCTTGTCTGTCCAATTTAGCCGCTGGCCAGGTCAATAGATTTGGGCTCTAAAGTAGGCTAAGCAAATGTGAGTGTGAGTGTGAGTGCTTATCGGTTGATTTGATTTTGTTTTAAGTGAAACATGCCATCCAAATTGCATGTATTAAACATTAACCAATATGCATTGATTGGCGTTACCATAAATACAAGCGAAATTAATCAGGTTTTGTCGGCTGTCTGAAGGTCGCCCCGACAACAATACAAAACGCGCCCCAAAAGAAAAGAAGAGAAGATGTAAAAGGTGTCGCCGAGCAGAGGAGAAACGCCAACTAATGCAGATATTGGGTAAAAGTGAATATTCGCAAAGGCTTACAAATGAGACTGGTAAATAACTATAACAAAAAATAAAAAAATAAAAAAAAAATACAATAAAAAATCAGACAATTAAAATAACAAAGAAAAGAAGCCCTGGCAACAAGTGGAGATGTCTTCATAGCCAACTCGGTAGCAGCCCTCAGAGCTATAAACATTATTCATTTAATAACTAAATATGCTAGATTACGCTGCAAGAGTTGGGTTATCCTTGAGCTCGGTATGCAGCGCATCCATTAGCACCGTGGCAAATTTAACAAATTAGTGTCCCATAAACATTCGTTTATGCATTATGCATATACATATGTACGTCTATATCTATATCTATCGTAAACGGTCTAACAAACTTTGACATTTGCCCTTACACTTGGCCCTTATAATTAATGTGTGTGGGGGTCTATGCAAATGCGTTGGCGTGTCAGCCGTAGCTCTGGTGCGCCCTATTGGCATTGCAAAACCTTCGGACTGGCCACGCATGCGCCACTCTGACCCCAAGCAGCTGATGCAGATAACAGCGCCAGAGAGCCAACGCAACACGACTGATATAGAGGAAGACAGAGAGAGAGAGAGAGAGAAGGAGTATGTGCGTCTTGAGGCGAGGGCCAGCTAGTGAGAGATTTTAATCAGCGCACGGTCTCGCTCTCGCACTTGAGCAACATCTGCGTCACTCGCCACACAATCTTTAACCGTATTAAACATCTTCTTCGAGCATACCTTGAGTGTGTGCCGTATATTTTGCGTTGGGTATATAAACGCTGGCGCATCTGTTGCTGACCATCATTCAGCGTCCGTCTTTTGGTCACCAAAAAAGCGTCGGCTCAACACAAACTTTACATAAGCATAGCAACTCAAGCAACAACAACAACAACAACWATGGTAAGCACATCAAGTACCAGAGCAACAAGTGGCACATCCATCAACCATCGGCCAGCTGACCTTAAATCCGTTTGCCTTTAACATTGGCCCGCCAATTAGCTAGACACACACACAAATCAACAAATCGCACGTTGATCTGGCCCGCCCATGGACTTATTTTATTTTAATCGGGCTTTTATTACCTTTGATTCACAGAAATTCTTCGTCTTGGCCGTGTTCGCTATCGCCGCCGTTGCGGCTGATGTTTCCCACCTGAATCTGGGCGGTGGCAACGGCTACTCGTACGAGAAGCCATCGCAGTCGTTCGACATCGACATCCGTTCATCGGGACCGGGTGCATCCTACTCCGCTCCTGCTCCGGCTCCAATCTACTCAGCGCCTGCACCAGCACCAGCTCCAGTCTACTCTGCTCCTGCACCAGCACCGGCACCAGCCAATGAGTATCTGCCACCTGTGCAGGACGTTTCCGCTCAGGGTCCGGCTCCGATCTACTCGGCACCCGCTCCCGCTCCCGAGTACAATGCTCCAGCTCCCTCTCTGCCCGCCCCCGAGTACCTGCCCCCTGCTCCAGCACCATCGTACTCTGCCCCAGCACCTGCTCCAGTCTACTCGGCTCCTAGCCAGTCCTACTCTGCCCCAGCACCGGCTCCAGTCTACTCTGCTCCAGCACCCGAGTACAATGCTCCAGCTCCAATTCAGCCTGCTCCCGAGTATCTGCCCCCTGTGCAGGACATCCCCGCTCCAGCTCCAGCTCCAGTCTACTCGGCTCCAGCACCAGCTCCAGCTCCCATCTACTCGGCTCCCGCTCCCGAGTACAATGCGCCAGCTCCCTCTCTGCCAGCTCCCGAGTATCTGCCCCCTGTGCAGGACATTCCCGCCCCAGCTCCCGCTCCCATCTACTCCGCCCCAGCACCTGCTCCCGCTCCCATCTACTCCGCCCCTGCACCCGCTCCCGCTCCCATCTACTCCGCCCCAGCACCCGCTCCCTCCTTCTCCTCCCAATTGTCCGGTCCCATCAGCTCCGGCCAGGCCGGCGAGTCCAATGGCTACGAGTACAACGTGCCAGCCAAGCGCTTCCGTTTCTAAGTGCCCATCTCCATCCTCATCTTTGGAGCACCGCTTGTTAAATTAACAAGTGACCTCCGGCACCTTGTTGTTGATCATCTGTTGTTATTATGCAAAGTTTCTGTTGAGATTTGTAGCTAATAAATATATGTATGTAAATATAAATAAAATACAATTAAATTACCAAATACGCCAATCTCTTATTTCGCCGAACTTCATCATTGCGTGACTTCCACGCACAGAAAAATCGAGTGCCTTCGAGATGATGCAAAAACTTTTCGCCACCAATGAACGCAGTCCGAAAAAAAAGCAACACCAACAACAAATGAAACTGGTTCACAACGATGCAAAAAAGAAGCAAAATTAATGTCAACTTATCAAAACGCCAAAATGAGAAAGGGAAACCATTAAAATCATTTTAAAGGGATTCCACTTGTCTCTCAGCTCGACGTCTCGCTGTCAACCAAACCCATAATCATCATTGGTAGTAATTGTTTATATATATATATATTACAATTACTTAGCTTAAGCAGAGATCTTAAAATTTTGATAGCAAATCAAAATTCATTTGCAAGTCATTTGCATTAACTACTTCATCATAATCAGTCGATCAAATTTTGAGTTGCTGGTCATTTTGCATTAAGCTTTGTAAAATACTCGAGACTATTCGACTAATAAATATCCTGTTATTAACAAGCTAAAAAAAACTATTATTATCATTTCAATTTGTAAAATTAATCCAAATATTTTTGGAACATATTTTTTGAGCTCTTTCCTAATACCCACTGTGGTCATCATAAAAAATCATAAAATGAGAGCAGCTACGAGTATCGGATTAAGAGATACAGCTAAAACTAAGAGTATCCCATAAATGGGTATATATTGGTAAAGCGGTACGAGGTTGGCGGCGATTAAATTTCATAAGATCTGATGCTCTTATTAAACGAAAGTACTTAGTGAACGAACTCGTCATAAGCTATAAGCTTTCTATTTTTGTATATATTA